TTAGCTGTGTAAGTTGAGTCACTTAACCATACTGAGGCTTAGTTTCCTCATCTGCAAAAAAACCCAGGAATAATAATACCTAAGTAATCAACTTGTTCACGGATTCAGAGCTAGAAGAGATTTCCAGCTTCAGCCTCCTCATTTTACAGATGAAGAAACTGAGGCACAGAGAAGTTAAGGGAGTTGCCTGGGGTCATACAACTAGTAAGTGTCTGATCTGGGAGTTTACCCAGGCCTTCCTGATTCTCAGGCCAGTGGCAGCAAGATGGTGCGGCAGATGGAGCACTAAGCTTGGAGTCAGTAAAATCTGAATTTAAATCCAGCCTCAGACACCTGCTAGCTGTATAGCTCTGGGAAAATCACTAAACTTCAGTTTCCTCAACTGAAAAATAGAGACAATAATAGGGTTGTTTCAGGAATCAAATGAGATACTTGCAAAGTGCTATTCATAATATTCGTCAATGAGATGATACTCATAAGGCACCATGCATAGTGCCTGCATATAGTAGGTGGTTAATAAATGCTTGTTTCCTTGCCTTCCCTACCAAGTACCTTACCCCTTATGTCAAGCTGCCTCTTGTTATGAGTGAACTGTTAAACATAGAGTGTTTTACAAACTTCAGAGTCCATATAAACATCAATTGTTCTCTCTCTAGGTAAGTGGATATTTAAATTATAGAAACATACACATAAAGTAAATAGAATATCCAAGTACGAGCTTTCCATCCGGTGTGATTTATGTGACTATTCAGATCCCTCTACAACCTGGGACATAGGCCAAGGCCAGGCCAACCTACAAAAGTAGCTAGAATTACCACAGTGGCAAGAAAGCACTTGAACTCCTGTACTAAATTCAATTCTTTAGGCAAATGAGCCATGGCCCGGGATATTGTTAATAATGTAAACACTGAAGAGCCCAAATAGCTAGGAGGAGAAGAGAACTAATTAGATAAACTGGAGAGCTTATAGCCCCATTAGTTAATTAAATTATCATTTTACTGTGTCTAGAATGAGCTGTAAGACTAATCTAAATGTTACCTACTTTATGGGGTCTACGGGCTCTTTACAAGCTCCCTTTGCTCGCAAAGTGTCAAATTGGGGCTGTATTGATAGATAAAAGCAAAATAGAGCTCTTGCAAATATAGCCTTTTCCAGGCGATATCTTTATACTATGCTATAAAAGCCTATTACTCTTAATTTAAAGAGTGAAAACTGTTGACATCTCTTTTAAATGGAACTCTTTAGGAAACAATGAGTAGAATATTATTTGAATGGAATAATGTGCACTCTTTATTGGAGAGTAGTAAAAATCTAATAGTTGGCAAAACAAGATGGTGTTTACTCTTCAAGATAGTCTGGTTTATTAGCTTCAACAACTGAGAGTGCCTTAGCCTTAGCCCTCAGCCCTCATCTACAGGGTTTTCACTTGGGTGATTGCCCAACAATTTCTCACCTGAATTCTCCCTTCTGGATACCTAGAATGGGAAGATAGCATCCTCTTAAGAATGCAGTAGAAAGTTGGATTTATTTTGTATTTAAATGAGACCCTAGAGAAATGTTTTCTTAGGTTGGTTTGCTAACAAGTATGCTCAGACTAAATCCCCAACAGAATGACTTCTCCAGGCAAGGGAAGCTGAGAAGAATCACCAAGTTCTGTGAACTAAGCAGTATGTATGTTCTCATTCTGAAAAGGATAGGGGAGAAAGAAGTAGGAAAAAGGAGAAAAGAGGAAGGGAAGGAGACAGCTTCCACTCAGGGAGAATGCCTTATGCAAAGATTTACAAACAAGTTTCTTGGGGCTATTGTTGTCGAGTCCTTTCAGTATGGCCAACTCTTTATTACCCTATTTGGGGTTTTCTTGTGCTGGAGTAGTTTGCTATTTCCTTCTCCAGCTCATTTAACAGATGAAGAAACTGAGGCAAACAGGGTTAAGTGACTTGCCCAGGGTCAAAGCCCTGTGTCTGAAGTAAGTGCCTGAGGCTCAGATTTGAACTCATGAAGATGAGTCTTCCTGATTCCAAGGCCCAATGTGCTCTATCCACTGTGCCACCTAGCTGCCCTTTCTTTGGGCTAAATACTAGAACTTCCCTGAAGGTCATATTCTTCTTGGCTACTCTTACCTTACATTAACCCTATCATATCAACTTCAATTTAATCCACTCACCTGACTGCCCATCCTTTATATGTGTATATAACAATTTTATGAGAGACCTTGGACTCAGGATGACTTATTGGCTATATGATCATGAGTAGGTTATCTCCCAGTAAACCAGGTAGCTCTTTAAGGTTATAAGTTAGAGATAAGTAACAGGAATACGTGAATAGAGGGAATTTCCACAATAGAGTTCCACATACTGATGAAATCACAGTTTCAGACTCTGCATCTCCATATTGAAGAATCTGAACATACATGAATACAGAGAGGCAACACGGTATAATGGATAGAGAGCCAGCCTTAGAGCCAGAAAGATAGGTTCAAGTCCTGCCTTGGACACATGCTATGTGACTCCCAGTAAGTGTTCTTCTTAAAGCTTCTCCATGCTCTAAGAAACTCTCTAAGACTCGAAGTTGTAAGGGAGGGGTCACCCACATTGGTATAGGGAATTTTCTCAGTTGGGAGTTCACTATACTAATGAAACCTCAAGTTCAATCCCTCTCTCTAATACCTATAAATATACTTGTGAATATACATATATATGCGTGCATGTGTATATGTATGTATGTATGTATATTCATATGAGAGCAAATTTCTAAGGAAAAGTGACTAGGATTTTAATCCAAAGCATTAAAATTTAGGGAGTATTCACAGCACCTGATAGAAATAACTGGCTTTAGTACATGGCTGTAATTATTAGTTAAAATAAGATATACTTACTCCTTACCACTACTAGCTCCCCACCGCTTGATGGCGGACTTAGAGAATCCCAAGATCTCCCTTTCAGGTCCTCATGAGATGCTGTCCAAGGTCTCCCACCTCAAACTAAATTTGTCTTTAAAAGTTAACTTGAAGGCATATTTCATTCTATTTGCTTCAATTTATTTATTTACTTGTTTATTTTGCCCCAGGCACAAAAATTGCTCTGTTGAGTATGCACCTATAGCTACTCAGCTACTTTGCATGCACATGTCCCAGGACAAGACTTAATGTATCCAAAGCAGGGAAGAGTAGTGAGTAGAGCCATTGATTGAGGCCCTGATTACATTTCTGTTGTGACTTGTAATCATTTGTTTAAGATTTTCTGTTTTTGTTACCCATTAGTAAAGAGTTGCACATTGGAATTCTCCTAATTCACATTTATACCACGGACCCAAGCTTTCCATATTCTCATATATTGAAATTTACCATCAAAGTTTGGCTCTGTCTCAGGCTAATGTATCCTAATTGTTCACAAAATAACAATAAATAGAATTTGAATTAATGAATTTGCTAATTGTTCTTCTCAGTTGGGGCCATCAGCCCCTGTTTGTCGGTTATTTAGCCAAGCATGAGAGTGTATTTATCTACATATAATTTCTGTTCTTACTTTGTGTGTTTGTCTATCTCACCCCCTCCTCTAGATTATAAGTTCTCTAAGTGCAGAGACTAACCTTCTCCCTAAACAAACCCCTAGCTAGGCACACAGTGAAGGCTCTGTAAATATTTGTTGAGGATATTGTCCCTCCTGGTTGTCATAGACTATTTATGATTCAGAAATAAAAATCACCCCATTGAGGTAACCCAGCAACAGAAAGGAAAAAAAAAAAACAACAACTAAGAGCTAAGCAGCTGCAGCCCAGAAAACTTTCCCCCTCTGTCCTCATGCCCCTGGGCGTCTGTGGTTATGAAATACAGGCCAAGGGCACACTTTGACCACATGCTCCAAGCCAAGCAGTCTGAAAGTTCAAAAGGGGAGTTGTCCTCATCAGCATGAATCAACCTTGTGGCCACTAACCCTGCTATTCCTCCAGGCTAAGAGTTGCTTATCTTCTGAACTTTCAGCCTGCTGATCCCAGCCAAGGTACCTATCACTTCACTGTAGATAATAAAAACATTTATGTGTGTATCCAACCTTCCCCAGATGACTGCCTGCTATCACTGTTTCCTTGTATTCTGTTTTCCAGTTTGTGCAATCAAGACCTTCCAAAGAGCACTGTTGGGCCCCGGAGGGGCTTGGGAACTTGGCCTTGGCCAAAAGTCAAGACAGTTGCCCCAAAATCAGACCACTGGTCTCTTTGAAGAGAGGGCATTTAGGAGCTCGCAGACCCCTGGTTAACATCAGGAATAGATATGTAAAAGCATACATATCTGAGAGCCTCTTCTTTGGTGTGTACTGGGGATACTGACCTTTTGGGTAATGTCCTTACATCATTGGCCAGGATGGGACTCTTGAAGATTCCTGCTTATTAGCGGGATGGTGAAGATCTCTCCAACATAACAAAAGGGCCAACCAGGGCCTGAAATGCTCTCTTCACAATCTCTCTGTGAGGGAGAGAGTAGTGCAAATACTTTTCATCCCATTTCACTAAGGAAGGAATTGAGTTTAATGAGTTCAGAGAAGCCCCAAGTTTGGTTTGGTTCAGGGGGTACATGTGTGTGTACACATATATACACATATATGTATACGTGTATACACATACATACATGCATACACATACATATATACAATACACACATACATATATATACATGGTAACTATGTGTATATACTTTATATACATATAGTTACATATGTATGAATATAGTACATAGTTAAATAAATGTCCAAACTGGGACTCAAATCCTGGAGTTGATCCAGTACTAAATAATTCTTAGCCCATAGTGAAGACTAAGACATTCTTTGCACGATAAATGTTATTTGGCATCGTAGATATACTTGTGATTGTCCAAGAGTCTTAAAACAACAGCAACAAGAAAAAGCAGTATCTCTAACAGCAGAAATAATTAGTATTTATATAGTGTTTTATGGTTTACACAGCATTTTACATATACTATCTCACAGCAACCTTGTGAATGTGTGCTATTGTTATCCACTTTTTACAGAGGAGGAAACCTGAGGAGTTAAGTAACTTGCCTGGGATTACACAGCTACAAAGTAATTGAGGCAGAATTTGAACCCAGGAATTCCTAGTTCCAACTCCAGTACTCGATCCACCGTGTCGTGCTGCTTCCCCTAAATCTGTGCTCTTGTGACTTAATATGATCTCTATGGTCCTTTCTAGCTCTAATGGTCAACTACAATTCTAAGTCGCCAGCATGTGCACACATGAACCAGGAGAGAAGCAAATGAACAGTCGTGTAGTTAGACTTCAGACACTTTATTAGCTGTGTGACTCTAAGCAAGTCACTCAAATGCTGTCTGCCTCAGTTTCCTCAACCTTAAAATGGAGATAATAACAGAACCTACCTCTGGGGATTCTTATAAGGATTAAATAAAGTAAGATTTGTGAAGCACTTTGCAAATCTTAAAGTGCTTTATAAATGCTAGCTAGCTATAAATACAAGCTAGGAGTAGGACTCATTCCATTACTTTGGTTGGGCTTGGTCCTAACTTCCAAGGAGGTAACATAGACTATTCCAGAGCCCCTGGAAGATCAATACCTCTAAGCTCTAGTCTGTGCACTAGAAGCTCTTCTAGCTTTCCAAGCCTATCCTGGCCAGGAATCCTTCTTTTGGGGATGTCATTAATTAATTAATGTCATTAATAGGAAATGTTCCCTATTGTCTTTTATTAAGAATCCTTTCATTATCTTTATTGCGTCTAACCTAATTGTAGAACCACAAGAGCTAGAACAATCCTCAGATTTTACAAATAAGGATATTCCATCCCAGAATGGGGGAAATGACTTGCCCAGAGTCCCTTGGAGAAGAGCCAGAATTCCAACTCAAATCAAGTCACTCTCAGGCCACACTTTTGGCATTGCACTGTGCTTCTCCCACCATGGTTCAGCTTCATTACATTTTACTTATCTCTGCACCCTGACCCTCTTTCAAAGGAGGCCTGCTCCTTGACCACATGTGAGAATCTCAGTGTTGAAAGCAGCTCCTATGAAGAACTTTGACTAAAGTGTGGCAGCCGAAGGCACTAAAACCGGTAGATCCTGAAGTGTCCAAAGCAGAACGACTATTATCCAAACAAGCCAGGCTGGGTATTCCTTCTCCCATGGCCAGCAGCAGACTTGACCAAGCCAATTGGAGTATTTATTGGTTTCCTGTCCATTGATCGTTCCTTTAGCATTCCTGAAACAAAGACATAGACCACTCAAAGGCAACATGACATGGGGAAAATATGGCACTTATGGTACAGTAGAAAAAGCCCTGGGTTTGGAACAGGGGTGTGAAGATAAATGCTTTCCAGGAGGGGAAAAGTACACACAATAAATTTTTAAGTTTAATCTTAATTATTAATATTTTTCCATCACCTTATTAGATCTAAACAATCAACAAAACAATACTTCAAGTCCTAGTTTCTAACATTCAGTGATTTCTGAGGTGTAAACATTCACACTGAAAATTTAACAATCAGTTCTTGTGGGGCAAGATAAGTGGGCCTCAGCCCCGCCATTGTCAATCAAAGGACCTAGATTCAGATTGAGGTCCTGCCTCCTAACTTATTACTTGTATGAAGATGGGGCATACTCCTTCCTCTCTGAGTCTCAATTTCCTCATTTGTAAAATGAGGAGGTTGCAGTAACTAGGTGGCTTCGGAGGTCCCTTTCACCTTTAGATATATGATCCCCTGACCTATGATACCTTCATGTACCTTTCATATAGAAAGAAAAACAGCCACAAAGTCAGAAGAAGTAGCCAGCACAGACTTGGGTTTGGATGAGACTTCATCTTCTATTTTCTCCTCCTCCTCCTCCAGGTGACATTGACCATGCAAGATGAATGATTTAGTGAGAGCATTAATGATGCTATAAAATCATAAGGATTGAGAGTGAGGATTTGATAAAAGTGAGATTTACAGCCACATCAGTCAATTTAATTATCTTTTACTAGGGTTTAAAACAAGTAGTAATACTAATCTCTATTTAACATGTTTTACAGGATCTGTGGGCACTTTACAATCCTCCTTCATTCACAAGTGTCAAATTATGGCAATATTGATAAAAGAGTGAAGTAAATGGAGAATGAGACAATCCCAGAACCAGTCAATACCCTTTTTACTACATTGTAAAAAGCCTATTACTCTCTGGTTTGGGGACTGAAATTTGGGGCCAATAATCTGAGTTGATAATGTTTTGGAAACAATTTCACAGACAATAAAGTTTCCCTTCTCCATCACATCCCCCCAACCCCACCCCCATCTTCCCTTGCACCAGGCCCAGCCTCCTTGGCCTTGGCCATATAAAGCATAAGGGGTGGCAACCAGTGCTATTCTCTGTCCTGGTCAGTAGAGACAACTGCTTGCTCCCTAAATGGAGAAGCAGAGAAGGAAGTCCAGGGAGCTTTGAATCTGACCAGAGTGCTATAAGGGAAGAAAACAACCTGCTCCATACCATGGCATGCCTTGCCCAGCTCTGAAGATAGCCTCATGACACCTGCCTCTCTTCTGGATGGGATCCAGGGAAGGATACACTAGAGTGGACTGTCAAACCATTTTCCCAGATGCTGGGGGGGGGGGCACGTGGAGGAGGGGAAGTGAGGGTCTTGAACTGCCTGTACTCTTTCAGAATATCATGGGCATAGTCAGGGACAGCTATCCCTAGACACTCAGCCTGGTGGTCTAGTCATCATGGCAATCTCCCAAGCCTGCCCTGTGATTTGATCCCACCTTGTGATGATCTGAAAGTCCAGGGATATATCTGAAGGCTCTAAATTGCCCATTTTAGATGGAACTTTTTCCCTAATTGAAGACTAAACTTCATTTTTCAGTCCTGAACTTACTGATTTTCTGTATCATCTACTCCCACTGTTCCCAGATTATCTGATGAGCGGACCCAGAACTAAATCCAAAGCCAGAAGACACACATTTCCATCTCAGTTCTTAACTGGCATTCAGATTTCAAGTTCTCTCTCCCTTGGTTTTGTGTCCTAGAAAATGAAAACAATTACACTTCTAATTCCATGACTCACATTGCTATCAGAATTATTGTTATTAACAATGATAACTTGATAGCCCTTTAAGGTTTACAAGGTGTCTTCTATATATTGCTTGTGGGTTGGGGTGTGTGTGTGTGTGTGTGTGTGTGTGTGTGTGTGTGTGTGTGTGTGTGCGCACGTGTGCACAAAGTTGAAGATAACACCATTTTGCCCCAGTCTATCCCTTTGGGGTTTGGCAGAGTTCATCCTTAAGCTCTGCTGGGCCACATAAGGAGGAAAGAAAATCTGTCTGCCCATTGCTCAGAATTTCCTAGGGTAGCAGACTTTTACCTGACTATTCCCAGAGGATGGCTCAGACCCCACTGATGCTGAGCACCCTGCCTAGCACACTAGGCATTTATTTTTCTGAAGTTCAAGAGTGGTTCTAGGGACTTGGAGGCCTAGAAAATCACCTTAGCTTTGTACTCCCTGTTTCTGTCCCTTCTCAGCTCCAACCCTGCCCCCTCACCATAGGTAAGGAGGCCTCAGGAGTGTTGGAACAGAGGGGCTGTGCCCTAGGTTGTGCAGAGAGGGAAATATTTTCTATTACTCCTCCCCCTCTGCCCTTTCAGAAAAGCAGCAACCTATTCTACCAGAAAGAATCTAGGTCACTTTTGACTACAACTCCAATCATTGTTATTATTACCAATAACGTGAAGATGAAGAGAATTTCGATGATGGTGATAATCATGATGCAAAATAAATTTTCTGGCTAATGCTAATACTTAAAAACAGGACACTTGATCTGTCATTGCACATTTGAAGAAACACATGCACACAGTAGGCTTCTTATTCATATACTATATCCTAGTGATGCACAAACAGCTGGGAATGCCAGTTAGCCCTAGGCTACAGCTAATGATTTATGGACACTTGCTTCCCTCCTAAGCCAAAGTACAATTATTATGATAATTGACAAGGCTCTACATATGTACCAATACTTAATCAAAGAAGGTGTGGGGGGCTTGGGGTGTGGAATGTTGTGTACAGTGTCAGACATAGTCGGTGCGTTGTCTGGTTTTACTCTAAAGCTTTTTTTGGTTTCGTTCCTTTAAAATCTTTGTTATAAGGGATGGCTCACTGGGTAGGGAAGGGCAGGAAGGGATATGGCAAGAAATGAATATGATCTAAAAATGAAAGGCATCACAAAATATTTTTAAGCAAACAAATTAATCATGTATTGACTAGATCATATAATTTTAAAGAATTAGAATCTGATCCAACCCCTTCATATTCACAGATGTAGAAACTGAGCCTCGGAGAGGTGAGCTAACCCAAGGTCAGCCTGCAAATGTCAGAACTGTGCAGACCGGAGTCTTCTGACTCTAAACTGAGGGTTCATTCCAGTATTCCATGCTGCTTTCCATGATGTTCCTAAAGAGATAAGATGAGCAAACATATACATATATGGTCTTTTAATGTTTAACTTTGTGTTTTCTAGAATGTGGGTGAAGGGGGTGATGATTTAGTGAAGAAGAGTTTCTTATGCCCTGGGAATGAGGGAACAGAGTTGACTTGTACTGATAAATGAAAACCTGCTTGACCACCCCCCCTCGAACACTTGCCTTTCCTCCTACCATCCAAGCCTACCCTCCACTTCCTTTTCCCTCCAAAACTCTTTCCAAATTATCCTGCTTCAGACACTTCAATTTTGTGACACTCAGTGGGTTATTTAGTCACTCAGTTTTCTCATCTGTTGAAAGGCACCTATTTCACAGGTTGTGTATTTGACTTTTCATGACCCCATTTGGGGTTTTCTTGGCAAAGATGCTGGAATGGTTTGCTATTTCCTTCTCCAGCTCATTTTACAAATGAGGAAACTGGGGTAAACAGGATTAAGTGACTTGCCCAGGGTCACACAGCTAATAAGTGTCTGAGGTCAGATTTGAGGTCAGACTTGAACTCAGATCTTTCTAACTCCAGGCCCAGTATTCTATCCACTGCTCCACCTAGCTGCCTCACAGGTAGTAGTGAAGATTAAATGCAATAATATATGAAATAGCTTTGTGAACCTTAAAGGTGCTATAATAAATGCTAGCCATTATTAGTTGGAACAGCCAGGATTCAAACCCAGATCACTCCAAAACCTCTTTCCATGGCACTACGTTGTCTTTATAATCATTAGGCAGGCCCAGAGTTGCCAGGTTGATTGTTCAATGATTATCCCAAAATATATCCCCAGAACTAGAAGTGAGAGGACTTTTCTAAGCTTTTACCACTAAGACATCCTGGACCTGTAATGACTGACTTCTAGTATAAATGGTTGCTTAGACCTAGGCTAAGTATGTCCTTGAGAGGGAGCAGACACACCAGGATCATCTGTCAGAGCCAGTATTCTTTGTGGGAGAAATCATAGATAATCTGATTTGAAAGGCATTTAAATGCCTCTTGTCTCCTTCCCCCACATTCCTACTACTAGTCTGCTTAATGCCTTACATTCATTCCTTTGGGTTAAGATATGAATTCCAGAAGTTCTCATTTGAAAAAGCAGCTTATTCCTTAACAAATTGCTTTATCAGTCATTACCACTTTAGTGAAAATTTGGTTATCATATTACTTTCCAAAGTGACAATTTTCTATTACGGAAAAAAAAAAAACATAGGACAGGTCAGTTTTAATAAAGGAGAAGAGCCAGAGAAAGTCTCAAAGCATGCGGCATTATTCTGGAGAACAGATGTAGAGGAATATCATAGTGAGGGCTCTGAGAGCGAAATAACATGACTGAGATCATCATGAAGAAGTGGGGGCAGAGGAAAAACTAAGGACGGACATTAAGAAAATACCGCCTGGCACATTGTAGGCTCTTAATAAATGTTTACTGAAGTAAATCAAATGAAACAATTTGCCTGCTTCACACATTGTCTGAGGCTGATCCTAGCAGCTATCGAGCCTGGACCTTAGTTGCCAATGTCCAGAATTTGGGAATTCTGGTGTTAGAGTTGGAAGGGACCTTAGGGTTTAGTCAACTCATCCAATTGGCTCATTTCACAGAGAAAATCAAAGCTTAGAGCGGCCGAACAAGTTGCCCAGGGTTACACAGAGACAGGATTCTAATGGAGATCCTCTAATTCCCAAGAAAATAAGTACTCTGTGTTTCGATTATCAGACTGAGAATCTGAGGGAAATCAGGGATCCTGAATAAGATTGGAGCTGTGGTGACTGAAAACACTACCCTTCCAGCTAGTTCTTCTCTACCCCTGCCTCACTCGCTCAGGAAGAGTTCAAAAGTCTAAGATCAGATGACAGCACGGGCTTGTGGTGTTCAATATCCCTTGGGCACTTGCTGACTCTGGACTAGTTCTGCTATATAATACTAGGGTATACAATGATTTAGATAGTAAGTCTACCACTTAAAGACCAAGTCTCATTCCAGGCACTCAACAGTACTTTCATTATAGGATCATAGGCTCATAGAAACATTACCCAACACCATGCCACCTAGTTGTTGACCATCTCACTGTTAAATTAAAATCTTTCTATTTCCAGTGGTTCTTGTTTCAATATATGGGTGCCAATCACATTAACAAGTCTACAGCAGAAAAGTTCATTTTATTCATGAGTAGAGATGCTGCAAACATGTTGGTAGAAACAAAACAGTACTATTCCTGGAGGGTTAGGGATCATGGAGAATAGTCAGCAATTGATTAAATGGAGTAGGGAATTGTGTTGGGGAGTGCAGTTGATTTTGCCATTGAGGCCAGAAACAAAGGACTAGAAAGCAAGGAAAAAGAGATTCAGGAAAACAAACTCTGGCTGTTTGTCCATGGAGCAGAGAGA